TATGCACATTTTCTTTGTCAACATATCTGCAATTTTGAACCTTTTAATTTGGAAACAAACTTACTTTTGCATTAACACTGAATGTGCAATACACACAAGCAAGTCAGTTTTAAATAAAAGGCATCAGTGGTATTCATTACTTGTGGTATATTCAGCATTTTTAAAATCTATTCAGGATTTATGTTTTCTTGTTTATTCATTTTTCTTATTTTTTATTCTCCTTTTTTTCTCCTGTAATAAGTGTCATCGCTGCTGTGACATCTAGCTTTCCCCACTGAGAAACAATAAAGGGATTTTCTATTCTATTCATCTATCTGCAGCCTTTCCACTTCCTATTTACTGTAGGTTAAACCTTTTCTCCAACAACAAAATAAATATATAATTTTATCTTAAATGAAAATGCAACATCTCACCTGTTAACTTTCATGTTTTGGAGCAGAAAAAGGGCATAAAACCAACATATTTAAAGCTCAGTTTGCTCCACTGGTTTACTGTGATGCTCACCTGTTCCAGCCAGATACCTGCATCATGGGGTTGATCTGAGCTGAGGAGGAGACTCCTGTTGTTTTGTTCATCTTCATCATAATAATGACAACATTAGATGACAACAGGTGCTCACATAGGTTTGTTATGCTGAACATGTCTGAGCAGCTTGACCACGTTGTTGTGTGTCGGGGAGGAAAAATAAAAACTACAGCAGCCACAGAGTCATGCTGATTTGAGCGTGTTGCTGCTCGCTGGAGTTATATCAGCTCTGTCTGGAAGTTAGTTGGAAAACTTTCTCTTTCAGTTGTGAACACATTACTGAGCGGTTAAAATCTCCGTTTCTGGGCTTCAACGTCGGAAAATAGCTGAGTAAACTCGGCGCTGAGTGGGAGGAGTGTTTAGTTTGTCCGAGACAGCGGAGCTGCAGACACCGGCAGCAGACGCTGGAAAAAACACAAAGGAGGGGGCGCTTTGGCTCTGCGCTAACACCGCAAAGCATCATGGGAGTTGTAGTCTTTGCGGTAAAATCAGCCAGTTGGTCAGTTTTAATATATTTTTGACATTTATCTCGCAGGCCACATAAAAATGCTCTGTGGGCTGCATCTGGCCCGTGGGCCTTGTGTCTGACACATGTGATCTAAAGGCAGAAAAAGCCAATTGTATTTCTTAATTACCGTATAGTAAAATAAAAGTGAATACGCAGCAAAGGTTTGTGTTAACTTCCAAAATCAGTTGAAATACTTTTTATAAAAGCAAAATCATGGTGGTGCTCCAGCTGATTCCTCCTGTTAGCTAACATTTTCATGAGTGGCTTAACATCTGGTTTCTGTCAGCGGGTCTGATTAGTTACAGCTGCCAGTTGTGTGTTTAACCTCACCTCTTGGCAGCATCACACTTCAACATTTTGAAGAGTAAAGCTGAACACTGACCCTTTTAAGCAGCTGTAGGTGGGAAGGAAAGCTCTGAGATAGAAATGCAGCTGCTGCTTTCAAGCTTGACTAAGTTAGTCAAAAAGGGGGAAATAAGAGTGCCTATTTTATTTTCTAAATTGCCGCCTCATTTGTTAAACAATTAATGAAGGACTCTTTATAAGAGGAAGGAAAAGATAAATTTATTCTATAAAATCTATGCTTCTGTGTTACCCTTTCACACATTGTGTTTCAGTTGTAGTTTTTGTTATATATTTTTTTCCTCCTGACAAAAAATCTTTAGTTTAAGTGTATTTTTCTTTTTTAAAGGATAAAATCTAACAATTTAGAAAATCAAATGGACTGGGCAGTCAAGTATATTACCAAAATGGTCAACTAATACAAAACAATAAAATAACTTCTTTATTTGTTTTTTTTAAACAAGATGAAACAAAGACTTATACTTTTTGGTAAAAACAATTTCACAGTTTTAAAAATTTTTGCATTTGAAGTCCAAAATTATTCAAACATAATCACTCCTTAATCGGAAGGTTACAGGTTAAAGTTCCAGTCAGTTTGTCACTGTTGTTGTGTCCTTTTGCCTGCTGGTGGTGGTCGGAGGGACCGGTGGCGCTTGTGCTTGGCAGCCTCGCCTCTGTCAGTGCACTGCACCCCAGTGCAGCTGTGGCTATTATAGCTCATCCCCACCAGCATGTGAATGTGTGTGTTAATGGATGAATGACTGATTGTGTTGTAAAGCGCCTTGAGGGGTTCCAGGACTCTAGAAGGCGCTATATCAAATACAGGCTATTTACCATTTAAATAGATGACTGTTAGTTTTGATTTGACAAGAATCTTTTATTGATTTTAGTCCTAGTGTTTTAACAACATTTCTTTTATTTTAGTCACAATTTAGTCATCCATTTTGTTTTAATTTTAGTTGAGAAAAACTGTAAAGAAATATGGAAAATTCACATTTCTTACTTTAGATCAAAAACACTATTTATAATTGTTTTAATAACAACAATTAACGGAGAGTATCATAATGAACACTGACAAGTTGAAATTGTCCCTCTCAGTAATAAAGTAAGCAAATCTGTATAATGTGCAGTTCCTGTACAGTTACTTGCTTTTAAAACAGTGAAATCCTTTTTTTAAATGTAAGTCAAATAAAAAAAATCTGCAGGTTTAACTAGTTTAGGTGACTCAGATTTTCTGCACTATTTCATATGGGATGGACTCCTCACCATGACACAGAGAAATAACTGAGAAACATCACAAAGACTCAGCGTCCCTTAACAGACACGACTCTTTTTGAACAGCATGTTCTCCACCGAGCGTGTTCCTCTAATCCGTTCTGGTTGATCGTGAGTGCATTCTACGTGCTCCGGACTTCTCAGTTTACATCTGTTCATGCACGAGTCTTACTCATCTCCCACTTCCTGTTTTAAAAAATGTGACAAATTCTGTTGCCTGGCAGACCGAGAGGGCGGAGCTGCTAACAAATACACACACAGGCTCACAACTGCATTGTGACATCAAAATGTACCAGCTAACATCATAGTGTACCTCTTAGCCAATAGAAATGGCAGATTTTAATTAAAATGCATTGTAGAGTTTTTACCTAAAGAGGGCGCAACGCTCACAGTTTTAGGCAGAATATTTAAATTTTAACAAAGATGCACTTAAGAGTCAGATTATTGACTACACATGTCTTCAGCACGAGTAGTAGGGATGAGCCGGATACTCGTTTCAGACGAGTATCCGGTACGGATAACGCATTTTTGACGAATACGAGCATGAAACTAGTAAAACGAGTCATTATCTGTAATCGTGCTGAAGGAAAATCTTCATTGGGTAACTGACTGTCTTCACGCTCTGTGATTGGCCAGTCACATAGAGCGCCCGCCCCTCCCTACTTACAAAACTCTCTAGCCGACCGGGAGCTCAGTCCGGCCGGCTCATCCACGCACACACACAGACAGTAACGGATCGCGCTGTGATGGCTTCACTGTTGCTCACGTTTCTTCAGTTTTCCCTAGGTTTTCTTCAGCTCGCCTCTTTTTCGGTTGAATATTTAAAGTTACTTTTTTCGTAACTGACATGGTGCATTTGACAAGACAGAGCTGACGTGCTGTTGTCACTACCTCCGCTCCGGTCGGGTTTCTCTCTCTCTCTCTCTCTCTCTCTCTCTCTCTCTCTCTCTCTCTCTCTCTCTCTCTCTCTCTCTCTCTCTCTCTCTCGCACACACACACACACACATTAATCAACATTTCTTTGTTTAACTTTGTGTGGGAAAATGCCAAGAACGTTAAGAAAAAAATCAGTTTAATCAAATTAAAATAAAAAAATATATAGAAAGTTGTGTCTGGTTCTAGCATTTCATATTTCCTAGTTCCTACTGCATGGGTTCAGATGTATTAATCCATGCACTCAAATATTAATGTTCTGATTTTATTGAAACACTTGTTCTGTAATAGTTTCTTTACTATTGTGATCAAAAATATTTAATCTCAATTCTGAGGCTGCTCTGTAAATAGTTTTCAAATAAACAATACACATAGCAACTTCTGATCAATCCATATCAATTTCAGACTTAAAATAATACATTGATGTAAACCATGTCCACTTCCGGTTAAACCACGCCCACTTCCGGGTTATGCCACGCCCATTCCGAGTACAGATACAGATAATTTAGTTGGTTGAACAGATACAGATACAGATAGTGGTGTACTCGCTCATCCCTAACGAGTAGACACTCATTTATATAATTAATCAGCAAAAAAAGTTGATTTGGCAGTGGTTTGCTCTTTAAACGGTGTTACTCTAATACTGCAAGGAGATTAACCAAAGGTGAGAATTGTTTTCAGGTGTATTTATTAGGGATTTCCTTGCACTAATTTACCCAAGTGAGCTGCCTGACATTTTTAGACATTGATTTTTCAACTGTTATCAGCATAGACCAAAATAGATTATGTCTGTGGTTTCCAGTAGCTTGTTCAAACTCTGATTGGTTCTTTTCTAGTCTAGTCCCACCTGTTCAGTTTGCTGATTGGTTCTTTTTTCCATTCTCCCATCTTTTCCATTTTCCGACTGGATTTTCGTCACTGTCATTTTTCGTTGTCTTTTATTTTTCAACAAAAATGTCTATCATGATTTAGTCTTTATTGAAGTACAAATTAAAGTTTTCATTTTGTTTATGTTCGCAAAAATTATTTGGTCATTAAAAAAACTAAAATATTTTGTCATCCAAATTAACACTTTTTGTGAAATCATTTTTGTACGTCTTTTACTTTAAAATATGATATACAAAATATTTGTAAAAAAAATTAAAACTAAGATGTTGTTTTTTTTTTACTTTTACCCCTCCACTTTTTACTTTTTATTTTTGTACATATCGTCCACTAACCTGTTTTTCTGCCTTTGACGATTGTTTATTTGGTCATTGTTGTTACATTTTACTTTCCTCTTTTAAGTTGGATTGTCCTTTATAATCTGTGTTTTACTGCACCAGGCTTTTATCAGCAGCATAATCAATGCCAGATGCAGTTTAAATGACATTTGTTTTCCTCTCTTTTTTTTTTTTTTTTTTGTTTTTAACACCAGGGATCTACAAGATCCTGCAAGAGTGTGGAGACGAGGCGAAAGCAGTCAGGGTAAGGCTGAGTCGTCACAAACTTGAAACCATTTAATTTTTTTTAATTGATCTCTATCAATCAATAAAGTCCTTGAATTTTTCTCTAGCTCATCACTCAATAAAACTCTATCACAGTTTGGCCCGTGAAAACGAGCTGCCTAAGAGGTCACATCAACAGTGGAGGGTGGAATGTAAATCCCCTCCTTTCCAACAAACACACAACTGAGCTGCCGGAGTTTAGACTCGAATCAAGTGGATGTTTGAGATCAGCTTCTGATAGAAATCTGAGAGTTTTATACATTTTCCTCCAGCAGCTGTAAAATCACACCAATAACACCATAGAAAACAGAATAAAAGATGATTATAGTACGACAATACAGTTCTTTCATTGGGATTCAAAGTTGAATTTTGTTATTGACGGATATGAAGGCGTGTTGGTGGCCAGTGTTGGCCCTCTCACATTAAACAAGTAATTAGTGATAGTTACAAATGACCTTTTCCAAAAAGTATTTGAGTAGGTCACCACACTGTAAAATTCATTAGTGACCTAACAAAGTAACTGTGACCTTACTATGAACGCAGCTATGTTCTTTAAAATCTATAATGTGAAAGATTTTTTAACTGAATGATTTTTACTTCTTTCTTCTTCGTTATTCTTTTTTTCATTAGTACAAATGTTCTTATAGATTTCTGGCATGTTTATTTCTGCTCAGAACAATAGAAGTATAGATTTATGGAATACAATCCCAGTCTGCCTAATAAATACTAAAAAGACCGCCTTAGGTTTTTAGGGAATCTGAGATATCTCAAACTTTATTCCTATAGTGCAGTTGTTATTCTGGATATCCTTAACTATAATTTATATAGTAACAAACAGCTGTTGATGTCTGCATTTGCCATTTTGACTAATAAGAATACAATTAGTAGGATACATTAAATTATTGTTATGTAAAATAGGATTTACAGAGAGGTCTATTTGTTTATTAAATGTTAAAACAGCTTGCCATAATCTGCTTTGTCCCTGCATTTACTCCCAACACTGTTGGCGATAAAAAAAAAACGCTGTTAACAAATGTTCGATGATTAAGGTGCATTCCAAGTCGGCTGTTTGACTCCAATCTCTTTTAATAAAACCTCAAGGAGTCCGAGTGTGGTTCAGGCCATGGAGGAGAACTATGAGGTGGACCTGGTCTACATCACAGAGAGGATCATCTCTCTCTCGTTCCCCGCTGGAGCAGAGGAGCGCAGCTACATCAACAACCTCAAGGAGGTGGCAACAATGCTGCAGTCGAAGCACAGCGAACACTATCTAGTGAGAAAACGACCAAAACAAGCAGAAAAAGATGCTTAGATGTTAGTTTTGTTGGGGTAAAGTAATGTTCTCTTTCTGATTACAGGTTCTCAACCTAAGTGAGCGGAGGAATGATTTATCCAAGCTGAACCCTAAGGTACAATCATCATGTGAAAATAAATAAATAAATAAACGTTTATTGAGGTTTAGTTTGAGTGAAACCATCAGAAACAAAACCCGCTCTTGTTCCTGAATCATCCCATCAGGTTCTGGAGTTTGGCTGGCCGGATCATCATGCTCCAGCGCTGGACAAGATCTGCAGCATGTGCAAAGCCATCGACACATGGCTCAGCGGGGACCAACGTAATGTGGTGTTACTGCACAACAAGGTACACAGATGAATAAAAAGGTGTACTGTTAACTTGTCCAGAGGTCAGCCATTTCGCAATTTTCAATGCCAATTGTAGGAAATCTGGACTGATTCACAATGCTAATTTGTTTGCCGTGTTTTCTATTTTGTCTATTCGAGTTTGGGTGATGAGGTGAGCTGCTGTAGCAGGGAAGCCAAGAAGCCCCGCCCACTTTGGCTTGCTTCTGTGGTGGGTTTGTAAAACATTCCCAAGCCAGGCTAGAGATAAAATCATTTCAAGAAATTCTGGGTCAACCTGTAGGGAGCCTAACTGAAGGACTGAAAAACCTCCCCTGGTAGACATCCAGGACCACACACACCTCAGATGGCTCCTTCCTACATGGAGGAGCAGCAGCTCCTGCTACAAGTCCCTCCTGAATGTCCGAGCTCCTCAACAGACCCCTAAGGCTCAGTCTGGCCACCCTTTAAAGGAAATCATTTCAGCCAGTATTTGTAGTCTCGTTCTTTGGTTTATTACCCGTGCTTTACCAGTAAGCAGACCCTTTTGTGATGGCATCTTGTGATGTTGCTCTACACCTTTCAATCTTCTCACTCAGAAACAAAACTCCAACTCTTCTTTGAGGTAGGACTTTGTGCATGGCCGAAAGTATAGAGTAGGAAAAACTCTCCTTGAGGTTGAAGATCCTAAGAGCCTTCATTAGATGTTCCCAGTTCCCCCTTAACAGGCCATCAAACGTATTACCACGTAGTGAGGATTTCATAGCACCTTCCTTTCATCCAAGTAACCAAGGGTATCCCGTAAGCGACTCAGGCTCAATCAGTTGGGTAAGTCATGTCCTTAGGTAAGATACTTCACCCTCCTTGCCTGTTGATGGTGCTCAGACTGACTGGTGACTCAGAAAGGTGCTTTAAAAGTGCAGATCCTTTATCATAGTCATTTGTCCTTTAGTGGGAACCAAAATGCGTAGCCATGGGAGATACTGAATGCTCTTTGTAAGACAGAGACTCAACCAACATTAACACTGTTCTTCAACAACTACAGTTTAAGTATCTTGATGTGATGGTCAGAGAGATAAACCAGTATAGATTGATCAGGGCTCTGTTCTATTGAGATTAAACACAAGGCGGGTGATTTTTCGTCCATCTACATTCCCACCCTCATCTATGATCTTGAGATTTGGATCATGACCACAGGAACCAAGTCCTGGAGGCAATCGGGTGAAAAGGGCTTCTTCTGTAGGGTTCAAGGCCTTCGTGATAAAGTGAGGAGCTTCATTATCTGGATGAGGTCAGAGTAGAGTCACCTCTTCTCCTAAACGAAAGGAGTCAGTTGAGGTGGATTGCACATCTGATTAGAACCCTCCTTACTGTGGAAGGGGCCCAAAGCAAAGACCAAAAACTTGATAGGGTAAGTTTATAACCTCGGCAACTCAGAGGAGGAGCTGGACAGTGTCTCTGGAAAGATGGATGCATGATACCTCCTTGACCCAAACTTGGATAAGTGGCCTTTGGACTTTGTGTGCTATGTTACCAAAGTACCCTTTTCTTCTATTCTGTTTCAGGGGAACCGAGGTCGAACAGGCGTGGTGGTGGCAGCATACATGCACTACAGCAACATATCTGCAAGGTATCAAACCTGTTGGAAGGTTTAGATCTACCTGAGTAAGAAGAGTTCATACATACTGCTCTGATCAGCAGAAGGTTTCTGGTTGTCAGTTATAAAAAAAAAAGTGGTATTCAGGTACTTTGATCCTCCAAATCTCCTCCACACTGAGTTGTGTGAGGACAGGAGTCCGTCAAAGTAAGGCCTTGAAGTTGGCTAAAAGAGTAGCCTTGAAACTCAAACACTGGTGTGGTATTTTAGCTTAACATTCAATCCTGGGGGGTTTATTTTAAAAACTAGTCTGAAAATGTAATCATTCTTCAAGACAGCCAGATGTTATTGGACAGAGAGGAAGCCAAGAAGACTTATGGCTGCTTAAAAATGATGAAATACTTGAGATATGTGTAAAGAACACATTATTGCCACTTTGTAACCCACAAATTTAAATGAATAAAATCTATGTTATGCAGTGCTGACCAAGCATTGGACAGGTTCGCCATGAGGCGTTTTTACGAGGACAAAGCACTTCCTGCGGGCCAGCCGTCGCAGAAAAGGTAAAGTATGACCTAATTTCCTGAAAATAGCCCATTTCCTGTTCATTTTAATTTTGCTCATCCTCTGAATTTTGTTTTGAAATTCTGCAAAAACATTTTTTTATATAAAAAACAAAAAAGACCATTATTAAATTATACATTTGGGGAGTTCATTCAGAGGTCTTTGAGAACTGATTTACAAGCTTTGATGGTAAAAAAAAGAAAAGAAAAAAATTGTTATTTCTGAGGTCAAACTGGGATGTCCTATTTTCTGTCTCTTTAAAGTAACACTGAGCAGTTTCCTGCTCCTCCACCATACTGGTTGAAAGTGGAATTATAACTATCGTGAACAACCCTGCAGCAGCCTGCTGTAGCTAGTGCTAACGACAAGCTAACGCTAACATGAGCCAACTAATACTAAAATTAACCACGAAGTACAAAGATCCACACTGTTGGACAGAAATATGATACTGACAAGTCCAGTAGCAACAAAGCCAGGTCATCACCAATCCAAGATTTTGTAGCCTCCTTTAGCTCTCTCAAACTTGTGTAGGCCGCACCGATGTTCACTCTGGTTTTTACTTTTTGCTCCGCGTCCAAAGACATTACTCTCCACTTTGATACCAACAAAAAGGCAGACAACTTCTTTTTCTATTTCTTCTTGTGCTTTTGTTTTTTGACGATCGGTGAATTGAAAATGTTAACTGCTAGTATAGCAGCTTACAGCCATGAACAGGTAAAGAGCTCCACCATTAGGTCACCTACCCACACCACAAAACTGTTAAGTGCAGTATCTGGCCAGCGGAGGGCTGCAAGGTGGTGTCAAATATGAAACTTGTCAAGTTTCTAACTCAACAATCACCGAGATCAATGTTAAAGCTCTAGCATCAAGTAAAAAAAATAACTATTTAGCGTTACTGTAAGACACCAATACAAAATCCTATGTAATAATTAAACTAAAGTTGAAGTAAATAGTATTTCTTAATTTATAAATTATTAACGTTAAGATTCATCCCAATTCAGCTAAACTGTATTAGCATAATGTTTACAATTTTGTCCGTTTTTAACATATTTTGCTCAAATTTAATGTCATAGTAGCTAATGGTGCATTGTTCAAAATGTTAACATCACCCTTTCTTTGTTGGTCATTGGACATGTGTCAACAACCGATTACCCTTTGGATTAGTGCGGTACGATACTGCAAAATTTGGTATCGATCCGATATCAAGTAAATACAGGAGCTAGTATTGCCGATACCAAGAAAATACAGGGGCTAGTATTGCCGATACCGATACAGAGAAAATACAGGGGCTTGTATTGCCGATACCGATACCAAGAAAATACAGGGGCTAGTATTGTCGATACCGATACTTTTTACTACTAGTGTAGTACCATCTAGTTTTGTGGGATTTATTAAGATAAATAGGATCAATAAAACTCAAGTTTTATTGATTACTTAATTATTCTGTAATTTTTCCTTTAATAAATCATGTGTACAATGATAATAAAATACAGGAAACATTTTCAGGCAAATAAAGTTTTCATTAGGAAACTATAAATGGTTTAAAAGCTCAAGATTTTTTTCTATTTGAAATCTATAAAGCTGTGTAAAAAAAAAATCCAAACGGCGCTCCTTTTTCGGTCTGCCATCACGCAGCCACAACAGTGCTTTCTGCTGTTCTGTGCTTGTCTTGTGGTGGCGTGCTGTTATACTTTTTTTTTATGTAACGGTGGACTGCCCCGTTGACTGACATCCGTAGCGTTCCAATCACAGTGCTTTACTGGTTTGTTGGGCCAATCACAGCGCTCTTTTAGCGAGGAAGGCGGGATGTCCCTGCAAACAAACATGGCTGCCGCTCAAAACGGTACAATCACAGGTATCAGCCAGGTAAACTACAAAGCAAGATGACTGCCATTCTATAGTGGTCCAATCATGGCACTATATAGATTTCATGGGCCAATCGCAACACTAAGTAGGCGGTATGTTATGGGAAAAAAAAACCAACGTGACTAGTCGGCGGTCAGCCGCTCATTTGAAACGGCTTTGGCATCAAGTTTGGACTATTATGACTTTAGCTTTTGTTTGAGTCAAGATCAGATAGAAGTACTAACGCTATTTAAGAAAAGGATGTGTTTTGCATCTTCGTTGATGGAGTTTGGTGGACTGCCTCGTTGACCGACATCTGTAGAGGTGAGTACGTCATGGCTTGCCAGGCTAGAAGAAACGGAATCGATACCATCACGCAGGTATCTAGTAAATACTCAATACCAACGTTAGATCGATACTATCGATATTTTAGATCGATCCGCCCAGCCCTACTTTGGAGAAAACCCGAATAAGTATGGCCGCCACGGACAACAATTAGCTACAAGTTAGTTCTAGAGATTTGAAGCAAATTTGTATCAGGTAACAGCTGAGAAGAGTTCATTTTTAACTATGATCTAAACCTCATAGCATCTTGTGTCTTTAGATATTAAATGTGTTGCATTTATAATTTCAGAATTATGAGTCTTTTTCTTATTCTTTACTTATTAAATTCCTCATAGCACCACAAATCATACTGGCTTTGGCTTTTAGATCATAAAGTACAAAATACTTGTCTTTTTTTGATAAACAAATGTTTTAAGTTCTCTTTATTTTAGCTGTCGTTAGGCATTTCTTAAAATCATTTTGAATAAAAGAACACTTTTTCTTTTCTTCCCGTTTACAGATATGTGCAGTACTTTAATGGCCTCCTGTCTGGGCACATAAAGATCAACAACAAGCCTCTCTTCCTGCATCATGTCATCATGCATGGCATTCCCAACTTTGAATCCAAAGGAGGTCTGTTTCTTTTACTTTTCTTCTACAAAAACCAGAAAATTATGCTGAATAGTCCTTGTCTAAACATATCTTTGTTTTTGCTTCTTTGCAGGCTGCCGTCCCTTCCTGAAGATCTACCAGGCAATGCAACCGGTCTATACATCAGGAATATAGTATGGAAACTTTTATTCCAGTTCAGTGTGGTTTGTGTTTGAATCCAGGTCAAAAAGTGGCAACATAACGTCCTCTGAAAAAAGTTTTTAAAGGTTTCCCCCCTTTTATGACAGTAATGTGCAAGGAGACAGCAACACCAGTATCTGCATCACTATTGAACCTGGGCTGCTTCTGAAAGGAGACATTTTGGTACAAATTCAATTAAAGTTTAAATTTTTTTGTGGTAGCTGACTGGCTGGCTGGCTGATGTTTGGATCTGTTCATCGTAGTTGAAATGTTACCACAAGAGGCACAGGAACCCTACCAGAGACATGGTGTTCAGAGTGCAGTTTCACACTTGTGCCATCCATGACCTCGGGGTTGTTTTTGGGAAGAACGAGCTTGATGAGACCTTCAAAGGTAACTGTTCTTTTTCCTAAAATGTTTTCAATATATTAAGATGACAATGCAAATAAGAGACTTAAAGGTTTTCCTGTTTCAGCCTGAGTTCATGTGTTCTCCTGTAGTTCTCCAGTTTCATAGAGAACAGAGTCCTCTGGTGGCAGAACCAGCTCAGTATCACTAGCTGTGCAGTGGCTCTCTGCTGCATCGAGGCAGTTCAAAACATGTCTTCTGTGTGTTTGTGCAGATGAGCGATTTCCAGAGTATGGGAAGGTTGAGTTTGTTTTCTCCTATGGACCAGAAAAAATCAAAGGTACTCCAGTTTTTACTACTAATTTTATCAAATTGCTTGTTTTTTCGCCCTTTTTAAGAGAAATTGGTATCTAATAATTGTTTGCCATAAATCTGTGATCCTAGTAAATTTAGGGGTATGAATTTAATATAATTTCAAATAAATACAATCACTTCTAGAAAAGAGCAAGGATCTCTTGGCATAGTCCTTTATTAATCAATGAATGAGTGACGCCTTGCCTTGCTGATCAGTGGCTAAACGCCCTTTGTTCAAGGTAAAGTCTGCAGAGATTGTATGACAAGCAAGGGCTATGAGCTTTTTAATGATGATGATGATGATGATGATGATGATGAAATCGTTGTGAAAAACCTTTGTGAAAAAAAAATGTTAAAAAAATAAAAAATATACAAATGTCAACAGGAACAAAAATGCTAGAAAAAAATAGTAACATCAATCAAGCCTGAAATAAAACTTTCAGTCAGTTTGAAAATGAGTAGCAATCCCTATTAAATCGTACCCTCAGCTGACTCATGCAGTATACACACATATGAATATTTATATAAATTATATACTAATTATCAGGGATGTGAATCTCAGAGCAATTCACGATTTGATTTGATTCAGATTCTTGGGGTGCCGATTCGATTCGGAATCGATTCTCGATTTAAATAGATTCACAATCAATATTAACAAAGAGTGTCCGTTCCAGGATTAACTACTTTGTTGTACAAGTTAGTTAAAGCTATGGGAATTTTTTTATTTGACTTTAAACTGGGCATGCTAAAAAAAAAGCTAATTTACTTGGTAAAATAAAGTGATTCTAAAACTGTAAACAGAAACAATCTTTTGACCAAAAGGTAACATTTATTTTTGCTTACCTTGTAAAATACAACAAATCTTTAGTTACCTAACAGTAACTTTGAAAGTAATACAGTCAAATACTGTTTAAGTATCTGTGGAAACAAGTTTGACATTTGAGTCCTCAACCTGTTAAAAAAGTGCCTCAGATTTCTTATAAAGGAAAATGTTTTCTCTCATTTATCAGTAACTTCAAATAAATACATGAGTAATCCTGAGTACTCACTTATCAACTTAGAAAATAAATATGAGAATATCTCAAATTTCTGAGTATGGAAAAAGTACATTCTAGTCCCCATTTATCAGCAGATTCAAAAACAAATCATCCCAATTTATGGGACCACAAAAGTAAATGGAGTACTGACTCTCCTAACAAAGACCAAAAAAGCAGACAAAAGTGCATCTCAAACCTGCAACATGCCAAACATTTGAGTTCCTGGAATCGATTCTGAATCTTTATAAATAAGAATCCCGATTCAGACTTGAATCGACTTTTTTCAGCACCTCTACTAATTATTACAGTCGTCTAGCATAGATGCAAGCCTTGAGTCATACTCCTGTTTCAGGAAGTAGGAGTTAGTTGGTGGAGTGGAAAATGACTGAACCTGGAGTCTCATTCATTAATATTAATGATATGCAAATACCTCACTTCTGATTAGATGACAGACACGCGACTCCTCCGCTGTCTTTGTTCTCTACTTTCTTGGGTAAAAATGCCACGTTGACATTTTATTTCCACAAATGACACAAGTCTGAACATGTTCCGCCATGTTGTGGAGTTGGTAATGCCAACAGTCAGCATCCACTTGGCTCTGCTCTCTCCTGGCAGCAAAACTAGATCCTATCTCCTACTGCACACTGGAAGCATCAGCGGCACGGAATGGCAGCGGAACGTCACTGCTCCAAATAGAATCCCTTAAAGTCAATGTGGTGTTTAAAACCAGCTGTGATGTGGCACTTTTCAGGCGCATCCCAGAAGCGGCATGTTGCGCCGCTAAAAATAGAATCAGGTTCTATTTTTGCCATGAGCCGCTTCTGGGACACGTGAATTTTCGCAGTTAACATTAGACTAGACAGGAAATCACACATGTTTCAGTGTAAACCTAAGGTAATTTTCAAAATAAAAGACTACTACAGCGATACAATTTCATATCTTTGTAGATTACGTCAATACAAGTGACCTAACGGCTTATTTACTCAAAGCATTGTTCGAGAAGTGCAGCAGTGTGTGTTTCATGACTAATGCAAAGCTGTGGCTAGGTGTCTTGTTTAAAAAATGGCTACGCGTTCTTTGTGCCCAGCAAATGCTCAAAGTACTTTGTGTGGAATCAAAAGTGGCAAAGGTGAAAGTAACCATCACACCATTTTATTTCTGTAGGTCTTGGTCACCTGGAAAATGGTCCGAGTGTTTCCGTGGACTACAACACCCAGGACCCTCTGATCCGCTGGGACTCATATGAAAACTTCAACCACAACTGTGAGGACACACTGGACATCGAGCACGGTTCGTATTATTGAATTTATGAGACTTGGTAACTTTTCATAGGTTTCATATTAAAAACATTCTATGTAGAAACTTCCACCGACAAACAGCAGCTGGTCCACGTGCTCACCATCTGCCCTACTTTACATTTTAATGCTTTTAAGTGTTTTTATGAATAGCTTAAACCTAATTAGTGTTGTGAATGAAAGCATAACCTCTATTGAAGTGAGTCCTGTTTCTAAAGCCTGTGAAGATCCACAAACAACCTGTCAGCTGGGCCTTTAAATAGCTGCTGCAGTATTAGGGGGGGGCGTCAGTCGCCTTGCGACAGGCTATCCTCTCTCCGGGGGGGGGGGGGGGGGGGGGGGGTAGGGGTGTAAACTGAAACACTCGACGCACACAAGCATCTGAGGCCACCTCCTGTGTTTCTGTGGTGAGGGGCCAGGAATTACACATACAAAAGGAAGAATCACACTATTCAAAAGGTCCCCTAAAATTATTTTAGCTTAAAGGTTTTCAGACTGCCTTGAAGGGTCCCTCTGGAGCCTCATGGATGATGAGATCCATAATCATTGTTGTAAAATCAGCACAAACAGGAGCTCCGCCGAGTCAGGACTTGGCAGGCTTTCCGGTGCTGCATTCAATTTTATGAAAGGGATATTTATTTTTTTAACAGCTTTGCAAAGACCGAATTCATTTCTGCACACGTCCCCTTGAGAACTGTTGCAGTAATTGTCGTTTTGCAAGAAGGTCAGTGGGAATCGCCTGGATTGCAAGTTTGATCCTAATGGATCAGGCGGCAGCGTTCCCAGCACTCAGCAGGATAAAAAAAAAAAGCTCTCGGCTGGTTTATCCATTTCTCTAATTGCAGTTTTTACTCTTATGCTTGGATGTTGACTCTGGATGTTGGAGCAGCTTCTCTCTTTACACCGTTTGGATGGACGCTGGATCGAGGGAGTCTGGGATGGTTTTGGACGATAAAAAGAATGAGGAAAAGCCAAATGAATGGTTAAAAAGAATTTCAGGCAGCCTGTTTAAACCATTCTCAAACCATAAATTCAATGGAATTGTTGGAAAAAGTGCTTAATGCCTAGTAGGGAAGAACGTTATGTAGCAGAGTGAGAATATGCCAATCAGGTGTAAAACACACCAACAGTCCAGCGCTAAATGAACGAGTCCCGCTGATAGACTGGCCTATTTTTACATAGGATGTCCATCAGTCATCGGACATCATTTAAAGAATCCCGACTTGTTTATCTGTCTGGGTGTTAAAGCAGATCTGAATGCATTCAGGGGGCTTGGCCACGATTTCCTGCCTCCATTTTTAACCACTGACCTTGGAAATACAGTTGAGAGGTCTGATTGAAAGACGGGTGTCTGCGAAGTTACAGGAAGTGTGAAATATCACAAGTTTTATTCAGATTTACAGGCTTGCGTCACAGCAGGAGTGTTGGGTTCAAGAGGCTGTTTTGTTGTTTTAGCGATGCATAGTGTGTGTTTTGTGTGTGTGTGTGTGTGGGGTGGGGTGGGGTGGGGGTGGGGGGGTGGGGGTGGACTCTACTCCACCAACAGCCCTGTGTTCTGGAAGCAGCTGTCAACCCAGAGGTCAGAGAAGTCAGAAGGCCAATGTTCAGGCCTCCAAGGGGTCTGTGAGCTACTAGAAGCAGACAGAGAAGAAGTGATAATGGTGCCTCATTGTACCAAGTAAGCGAGGTTAAGCTCCACTGTGTTCACAATAATCATGTTATTTTTAGCCTACAAAATTCTGTTTCTTATTTTAAGCCTGGTTCACACGCCAGAGTTACCATGGCAGTTTTTGACCAGCTTCGCTCATGTGAACCATTACTATTCGGGTTGGGCGACGATCATCAAGATTCAATTGGAACCGAGACTAATTGTCAGTTTTTCCCAATATTGTTCAATCAGTTTTTATTCTTTATTCAGACCATTTTCATAACATTCCTGTACACAATATACACAGTATCACTCTGCTACATAAATTAGATCTGTGAAAGGGACTCCAAGAAGCTGAAACAGCTTATTTAAGGATCCCATGATGATTATATTCAAATAATGCTTTCTCATAAACCTGACCTTTATCAGAAAATCATCAGAAAGAAAAGAAAACAATTAGTCAAATCAAACCATACATGCCACAGAAATAAATAAATAAATAAAGTTGAGTCAATATTCAATTAAAATTCTAGCACTCATGTGATGTCACCAAGGTATTGCCACTATGTGTTCATACCATATGTATTTAACATTTCCATCTTCAAAAGAGTTTTAAATTTACTAATTGTTTTACATTTCTTGATTGCTTCACTCAAATTATTCTATGTTTGTACTCCTCTGGATGTAATACAATGATATTTCCTGTTGGTTCTAATCAAAGGTGTCTTATAAATAAATGTTCCACGTAAAGTATAATTTCCATCCCTTAGTTGAAACAACTTCTGGACACTGTGAGGGGCTTCCTGGTTAAGTATTTTAAACATAAGTTGTGCTATTCTATAGTTAACAAGTTCTTTAAACTTGAGAATTTTTAATGTAATAAACAGTGAATGAGTATGTTGTCTATATTCTGCATTAGCCACTATTCGTATAGCTTTTTTTTGTACAGTACACAGAGGTTCTAAATTGGTTTTGTATGTATTGCCCCCATACTTCTACGCCATATATTAAGTAAGGGACAATAAAAGAAGATTATAGGGTTAGCAGAGAAGACGTATTGATAATCTTTTTAACTCTATACAGTATCGCTATTGATTTCGATATTTTTGTCTTAATGTAAGTTATATGTGGTTTCCAATTTAATTATCGTCTATTATCACTCCAAGAAACTTGACTGTTGTTATTCTTTCAATTTCAATATTATTTATCCTGTTTAGCATTTAGATCATTGTGTTTATTTCCAAATGTAATAAACTTTGTTTTTGGCAAAATTAATGTGAGTTTATTATCATCAAACCAGGTCTTCAAGATTGAGAGCTCCTCATGTACAGTGTCCAGAATCTGATCCAAATTAAGGTAGCATCGTCTGCAAACAAAATGGGTTTAAGCTCCGTGCATGCTTCCCTTAAATTATTTATATACAAGATAAACAAAAAGGGCCCCAACACTGACCCCTGGGGAACTCCGCACTTGATTCTCTGTGTCTGGGATTTAACTTCCTGCATTTGCACATACTGTTCCCTATTTTCCACATAACTCTTTATCCATATATTTGCAATGCCTCTAATTCTATAACTATTTAGTTTCTTCAGTAACAAGTTATGATCCACGGTATCAAACGCTTTTTCTAAGTCAAGAAAAACTATCAAATGTTCTTTTTTACTATTGCTGTTACTATCTTCTCTGTAAAGTCGGTGAGTGAATGTGTTGTTGTCCTTTTTCTCCAAAATCCATATTGTTGTTCACACAATATGTTGTGTTTTGTAATAAAGTTTTCCAGCCTTATAAGGAACAATTTTTCTAATATTTTGGAAAATTGTGGTAGTAATGAGAACAGCCTATTTGAAAGTAGCTGTTTATTGCCAGATTTAAATATAGGTATAACTTTAGCTATTTTCATCTTGTGGGGAAATACACCTGTTTACAGTGATAGATTACAAATGTGAGCAATAGGTTTTGATATACAATCTATTATGTATTTAATTAGAAACATTTGGAGTCCATCACAATCAGTGGATTTCTTACTTTTAAATTTGTTAACAATATCAATAATTTCTCTTTCATCTGTTTCTCTCCTCAATATTTTCGGTCTTACTCTCTACGTTCCAATTTCGCTCGGAGACAACAATATCCCTTGCTAATTCAGGACCCACATTCACAAAAAAATTATCAAATCCATTTGCTATTATATTTGCATCACCGGTCACTGTGTTGTTGTCCCAAAGTTCTGTCGGACAATTCTTGTCACTGCTATGTGTAATAATAGTTTTCAGTATTTTCCAAGTTTATTTTACATTACTTTTATTTTCCTCCAAAATCTTACTGTAATGAGCTTTTTTACTGTTTCTCAACATTGTAATTAATTTATTTTTGTATTTTTTTATAGTTTAACTAGCTCTCTAGAGTTTTTTTCTTAAAAAATGTTCTATGTAACATATTTTTCTTCTTACATGCTTGCGGCATTCATTTTCTTACCCATGGTTTTTCCCTCTGATTTTGTTTCACAGTTTTATTTTTAATGGACAATGCTTCTCAAACATCTTTAACAAAGTCGACAAAAAAACTTCATAGGCTGCATTTACATTGTCGACGTAGACGCCCCTCCAATCGTGCTTCTTAAGTTCCTCTTTAAAATTATGTATTGCCTTCTGTGTTATACATCTTGCCATATACTTCCCGTTTCTCCTCTGTATCATATAGTTCTGGATAATTATAAAAACTGGAAGATTGTTGCTTACGTCACTTATTATTAACCTACTCAAAACTGTCCTGTCTACAACATTTGTAAATATGTTATCAATAAGGGTGGCACTGTGCCTTGTTATCCTGCTTGGCTGAGTTATTGTAGGATATAGTTCCAGACTGTAAATTTCATCTATAAACTCAGCTGTCGAATTATGTTTCTTGGGGTTCAACAGATCAATGTTAAAATCGCCACAAATAAAGACTTGCTTAGTACCATTACTGTTAATTAATTCAGACAACCTGTCCTTGAAATTTTCTACACATGATCTAGGTTTTCTATACACTCAACAAATAGTGTTTTTTGACTTCCACATATCAACCTCCACTGTAACGGACTCCATAATATTGTCCATTACAAATGACATTTTTTAAACATATCGGCTTTTATACCTTTCTTCGACATATAAGGCAACACCTCCTCCCTTTTGATGTTTTCCTGTTTGTGTCACGCTAAGCAGGAGGAGGTAGGACCCAAAACGCAGAAGCCAGAATGACCCGAGGCAAGAGCAGTTGAAAGAGGTAAAATTCTTTTATTAAGGTGGCAACACAAAATAACGTAGAGGTGCAGGAGTCAAATCCAGAAAACTGAAAATCAGGACGCC